ATATAATATTTGCAGCGTTCTCGTATAGACGATTTCTTGATATAGGAACCACTGTTGATTTTGGACTCTGGTTGTGCAGGATATTGGGTAAATCTGCGTTTTAAAATGCTGATATCAATACCACAGACTGCTGTAAATATACTCTAGGTTCCACTGTAGGAACCCGCCTATACTGTACGTTCCACCACAGGAACGCGGTGGACTGAGAACGTGCCCTAAGTTGAATGAACGTTTGTGAAATGATGAACTGTGAAGAAACCTAATGTTAAAAAATTGTAGTTATCACTCCAGAGTACAATGATAATTTCCCAAGTTCATTATATTTCCCACTCTATAATATAACCTTTTTTGTGAGAGTAACATGTCACATGAGAGGTGAGAATGTTGACCCCTGTGAGGCGTGGTAGAGAGGCAGGCCTCTGTCATCTGGTCTTTGTGACCAATCAACCTCTGGAGGGTTATTAAGGCCACCACAAGAGCTTATACTGACCACCCGGCAAGTATCCTGTAGCCCCTGTACAGTCCGGGACTTAAGTCAATGTTCAGTATATATATATACACCGAGATATGGGGGGGGGGGGGAGGGTACATCTTTCAGTGAATATATCCATTGTAGGAAGGATGAGGACCATAGTACATATACCGACATACGGCGCAATTAGAAAGTAGAAATCGGTACTATTGAATTTGGACAAACCGGAAAGATTTTCTATGTTGCAAAGACCAGCAAAACTAACCTAACCTAAACTTCCTAGGCCTAATACACGCTATTTGACGCTTAATATAGTACATATGTGTGCTATACTAATCCCAGGAATATTTGTTTTTTAGCTTCATTATTTTTCGAACTATAAAGTGAATAGTACAAAATCCTACTATCTAACTGCTTAGTACGTCAATATTTGTACTATGGTGTACATAGTTACAAAATGTACTATCTAAACAGGAAGATGGATTGACATTGAACTACTCGACTAGTCTAAGATGATCTTGAGTTTAATACACTGGTAATATTTTAAAGGCCTGTGACAGTGTTATCAACACTGTCACTTGTGTTGATAACACATCACTTGTGTGTGTAAGCTCATCAATATGCATTGATGACCCAGGTTTGTAACCCTTCCAAAAACTAAATAATAACAACTCACCAGGTACTCAGTGTTGGGTGTACTCACCAGGTGCTCAGTGTTGGGTGTACTCACCAGGTACTCAGTGTTGGGTGTACTCACCAGGTACTCAGTGTTGGGTATACTCACCAGGTACTCAGTGTTGGGTGTACTCACCAGGTACTCAGTGTTGGGTGTACTCACCAGGTACTCAGTGTTGGGTACTCACCAGGTACTCAGTGTTGGGTGTACTCACCAGGTACTGTTGGGTGTACTCACCAGTACTCACCAGGTACTCAGTGTTGGGTGTACTCACCAGGTACTCAGTGTTGGGTGTACTCACCAGGTACTCAGTGTTGGGTGTACTCACCAGGTACTCAGTGTTGGTGTTGTGTACTCACCAGGTACTCAGTGTTGGGTGTACTCACCAGGTACTCAGTGTTGGGTGTACTCACCAGGTACTCAGTGTTGGGTGTACTCAGTGTTGGGTGTACTCACCAGGTACTCAGTGTTGGGTGTACTCACCAGGTACTCAGTGTTGGGTGTACTCACCAGGTACTCAGTGTTGGGTGTACTCACCAGGTACTCAGTGTTGGGTGTACTCACCAGGTACTCAGTGTTGGGTGTACTCACCAGGTACTCAGTGTTGGGTGTACTCACCAGGTACTCAGTGTTGGGTGTACTCACCAGGTACTCAGTGTTGGGTGTACTCACCAGGTACTCAGTGTTGGGTGTACTCACCAGGTACTCAGTGTTGGGTGTACTCACCAGGTACTCTCACCAGTGTTGGGTGTACTCACCAGGTACTCAGTGTTGGGTGTACTCACCAGGTGTCAGTGTTGGGTGTACTCACCAGTGTTGGGTGTACTCACCAGGTACTCAGTGTTGGGTGTACACCAGGTGTTGGGTGTACTCACCAGGTACTCAGTGTTGGGTGTACTCACCAGGTACTCAGTGTTGGGTGTACTCACCAGGTACTCAGTGTTGGGTGTACTCACCAGGTACTCAGTGTTGGGTGTACTCACCAGGTACTCAGTGTTGGGTGTACTCACCAGGTACTCAGTGTTGGGTGTACTCACCAGGTGTCAGTGTTGGGTGTACTCACCAGGTGCTCAGTGTTGGGTGTACTCACCAGGTACTCAGTGTTGGGTGTACTCACCAGGTACTCAGTGTTGGGTGTACTCACCAGGTACTCAGTGTTGGGTGTACTCACCAGGTACTCAGTGTTGGGTGTACTCACCAGGTACTCAGTGTTGGGTGTACTCACCAGGTACTCAGTGTTGGGTGTACTCACCAGGTACTCAGTGTTGGGTGTACTCACCAGGTACTCAGTGTTGGGTGTACTCACTCACCAGTACTCAGTGTTGGGTGTACTCACCAGTACTCAGTGTTGGGTGTACTCACCAGGTACTCAGTGTTGGGTGTACTCAGTGTGTTGGGTGTACTCACCAGGTACTCAGTGTTGGGTGTACTCACCAGGTACTCAGTGTTGGGTGTACTCACCAGGTACTCAGTGTTGGGTGTACTCACCAGGTACTCAGTGTTGGGTGTACTCACCAGGTACTCAGTGTTGGGTGTACTCACCAGGTACTCAGTGTTGGGTGTACTCACCAGGTACTCAGTGTTGGGTGTACTCACCAGGTACTCAGTGTTGGGTGTACTCACCAGGTACTCAGTGTTGGGTGTACTCACCAGGTACTCAGTGTTGGGTGTACTCACCAGGTACTCAGTGTTGGGTGTACTCACCAGGTACTCAGTGTTGGGTGTACTCACCAGGTACTCAGTGTTGGGTGTACTCACCAGGTGCTCAGTGTTGGGTGTACTCACCAGGTACTCAGTGTTGGGTGTACTCACCAGGTACTCAGTGTTGGGTGTACTCACCAGGTACTCAGTGTTGGGTGTACTCACCAGGTACTCAGTGTTGGGTGTACTCACCAGGTACTCAGTGTTGGGTGTACTCACCAGGTACTCAGTGTTGGGTGTACTCACCAGGTACTCAGTGTTGGGTGTACTCACCAGGTACTCAGTGTTGGGTGTACTCACCAGGTACTCAGTGTTGGGTGTACTCACCAGGTACTCAGTGTTGGGTGTACTCACCAGGTACTCAGTTGGGTGTACTCACCAGGTACTCAGTGTTGGGTGTACTCACCAGGTACTCAGTGTTGGGTGTACTCACCAGGTACTCAGTGGGTGTACTCACCAGGGTGTACTCACCAGGTACTCAGTGTTGGGTGTACTCACCAGGTACTCAGTGTTGGGTGTACTCACCAGGTACTCAGTGTTGGGTGTACTCACCAGGTACTCAGTGTTTGGGTGTACTCACCAGGTACTCAGTGTTGGGTGTACTCACCAGGTACTCAGTGTTGGGTGTACTCACCAGGTACTCAGTGTTGGGTGTACTCACCAGGTACTCAGTGTTGGGTGTACTCACCAGGTACTCAGTGTTGGGTGTACTCACCAGGTACTCAGTGTTGGGTGTACTCACCAGGTACTCAGTGTTGGGTGTACTCACCAGGTACTCAGTGTTAGGTGTACTCACCAGGTACTCAGTGTTGGGTGTACTCACCAGGTGTTGGGTGTACTCAGTGTTGGGTGTACTCACCAGGTACTCAGTGTTGGGTGTACTCACCAGGTACTCAGTGTTGGGTGTACTCACCAGGTACTCAGTGTTGGGTGTACTCACCAGGTACTCAGTGTTGGGTGTACTCACCAGGTGTACTCACCAGGTACTCAGTGTTGGGTGTACTCACCAGGTACTCAGTGTTGGGTATACTCACCAGGTACTCAGTGTTGGGTGTACTCACCAGGTACTCAGTGTTGGGTGTACTCACCAGGTACTCAGTGTTGGGTGTACTCACCAGGTACTCAGTGTTGGGTGTACTCACCAGGTACTCAGTGTGTTGGGTGTACTCACCAGGTGTACTCACCAGGTACTCAGTGTTGGGTGTACTCACCAGGTACTCAGTGTTAGGTGTACTCACCAGGTACTCAGTGTTGGGTGTACTCACCAGGTACTCAGTGTTGGGTGTACTCACCAGGTGCTCAGTGTTGGGTGTACTCACCAGGTGCACACCAGGTGTTGGGTGTACTCACCAGGTGCTCACAGTGTTGGGTGTACTCACCAGGTACTCAGTGTTGGGTGTACTCACCAGTGTTGGGTGTACTCACCAGGTACTCACGGTGTGTTGGGTGTACTCACCAGGTACTCAGTGTTGGGTGTACTCACCAGCTGCACGGTGTTGGGTGTACTCACCAGGTGCACAGTGTTGGGTGTACTCACCAGGTACTCAGTGTTGGGTGTACTCACCAGGTACTCAGTGTTGGGTGTACTCACCAGGTGCACAGTGTTGGGTGTACTCACCAGGTACTCAGTGTTGGGTGTACTCACCAGGTACTCAGTGCTGGGTGTACTCACCAGGTGCACAGTGTTGGGTGTACTCACCAGGTACTCAGTGTTGGGTGTACTCACCAGGTACTCAGTGTTGGGTGTACTCACCAGGTACTCAGTGTTGGGTGTACTCACCAGGTACTCAGTGTTGGGTGTACTCACCAGGTGCACGGTGTTGGGTGTACACACCAGGTGTACAGTGTTGGGTGTACTCACCAGCTGCACGGTGTTGGGTGTACTCACCAGCTGCACGGTGTTGGGTGTACTCACCAGCTGCACGGTGTTGGGTGTACTCACCAGGTGAGTACACCCAACACTGTGCTCACCACATATTCCCACGACCTGACCCCTGGACAACTTGTGGTCACAAACACTCTAGAATTGTGACTTTATAATTGCTAAGGTCAGACAACCTGGCGCCTCTCAAATATCCCGCCTACTGACTCACGTTGTATGCAAAATAAGATATAACTCAACTGGACACCTTTATGGGGTTACATACTCACCAGGTACCACTGGAACCGGAAGTAAGGGTCTGTGGGGTTCTCATGACTCTGGATGGTGTGGAGTGGTACCAGATTCTCCACCTTCAGTGGATTGTATCCACGCTTCACCCTCTTGAAACCGGCCTGCTGGTACGCCCAGTGAACCTGTCGGAGACACGAGAAATGGTTATTAGGACCCCTGTAAGACACAAGAGGTGGTTGTTAGAACCCCTGGAAGAAGCTAGAGGTGGTTGTTGGGACCAATAGGAGACACGGGAGGCAGTTGTTACAAGTTTCCAGACACATAGTGTCATTTTATGTAGGGATATTCCTGTGCGGGCCCCAAGTCTCTGGCTGGCGATCTAAGCGTTACCCATTCTTGGCTTTCTTAGGTACTGGATGAGTGTTTATGACGCGTATGTTGTCTTCAGTGACGTTATGTATAATGTCTTTAATGTCTGCACTGCTAAATCTCGGTGCTAATCTTATTTGGTTTGTACCTTTGCACTGTGGGAGGATAATGTCCGGTTTGTACCTTTGCACTGTGGGAGGATAATGTCCGGTTTGTACCTTTGCATTGTGGTAGGATAATGTCCGGTTTGTACCTTTGCACTGTGGTAGGATAATGTCCGGTTTGTACCTTTGCATTGTGGTAGGATAATGTCCGGTTTGTACCTTTGCACTGTGGTAGGATAATGTCCGGTTTGTACCTTTGCACTGTGGTAGGATAATGTCCGGCTTGTACCTTTGCACTGTGGTAGGATAATGTCCGGTTTGTACCTTTGCACTGTGGTAGGATAATGTCCGGCTTGTACCTTTGCACTGTGGTAGGATAATGTCCGGTTTGTACCTTTGCACTGTGGTAGGATAATGTCCCAGTGGTCTGTTTGGCCTATCTCCAAAATGCTGACATTTGTTCTCTATATTCTTTTGGAATTTGAAAGCCTATTTCCCCACGCACATGGTTATCCAAGCCTGATGAAGTACATGTGTAGATCTGTTCTTCTCTTGTTCCCTTACATCAAAATTAGTAGCCATATTTGGTCGAATTCCTGTACCAACCCTCAGAACCTGATGTTACAGCCGCTGTGTTATGGCCACTAAATATCTTCTGAATTGCTCTATCTCTAATCATGTTCTAAATGTGTGTGCTAGACTCTGTGGTATGGAAATGTCTACATTCCTCCTCCTCCTGAGTTGCATGTAGAGCAGTTCTGCAATGTTATTCCCTGGTATTCCTACATAACTTGGCACCCAACTTGATAGCTTTTCGATGACCCTGATGTTTGAATGTTTGCATTCATAGGCAGATGGATGTTGCCTCGGACGTGCTCTTGCTGCAAGATTTTTGTGGCAATTCTAGAATCTGTAAGACTGTTGACAGTGTTCAGCAAGAGCATCTTCCACAGTCTTTTGAATGACCAATATCTCTGTAGCGTTGAGGACCAATTTGAGAGACTCTCCTTGGTTTTCGTACTCTGCTGGGCAATGTACTCAGCGAGTCAATGTACTCAGCGAGTCAATGTACTCAGCGAGTCAATGTACTCAGCGAGTCAATGTACTCAGCGAGTCAATGTACTCAGCGAGTCAATGTACTCAGCGAGTCAATGTACTCAGCGAGTCAATGTACTCAGCGAGTCAATGTACTCAGCGAGTCAATGTACTCAGCTGGTCAATGTACTCAGCGAGTCAATGTACTCAGCGAGTCAATGTACTCAGCTGGTCAATGTACTCAGCGAGTCAATGTACTCAGCGAGTCAATGTACTCAGCGAGTCAATGTACTCAGCGAGTCAATGTACTCAGCGAGTCAATGTACTCAGCGAGTCAATGTACTCAGCGAGTCAATGTACTCAGCGAGTCAATGTACTCAGCTGGTCAATGTACTCAGCGAGTCAATGTACTCAGCGAGTCAATGTACTCAGCGAGTCAATGTACTCAGCGAGTCAATGTACTCAGCTGGTCAATGTACTCAGCGAGTCAATGTACTCAGCGAGTCAATGTACTCAGCGAGTCAATGTACTCAGCGAGTCAATGTACTCAGCTGGTCAATGTACTCAGCGAGTCAATGTACTCAGCGAGTCAATGTACTCAGCGAGTCAATGTACTCAGCGAGTCAATGTACTCAGCTGGTCAATGTACTCAGCTGGTCAATGTACTCAGCGAGTCAATGTACTCAGCGAGTCAATGTACTCAGCGAGTCAATGTACTCAGCTGGTCAATGTACTCAGCGAGTCAATGTACTCAGCTGGTCAATGTACTCAGCTGGTCAATGTACTCAGCGAGTCAATGTACTCAGCGAGTCAATGTACTCAGCTGGTCAATGTACTCAGCGAGTCAATGTACTCAGCGAGTCAATGTACTCAGCGAGTCAATGTACTCAGCGAGTCAATGTACTCAGCGAGTCAATGTACTCAGCGAGTCAATGTACTCAGCGAGTCAATGTACTCAGCGAGTCAATGTACTCAGCTGGTCAATGTACTCAGCTGGTCAATGTACTCAGCGAGTCAATGTACTCAGCGAGTCAATGTACTCAGCGAGTCAATGTACTCAGCGAGTCAATGCATTTAGTTTATATGCTGGATACAAGCATTGAATTTAGTCAGCCAAGCGATACTAGTATATTACGTTTTAGATTTTTATATAAATTGACTCCACATATTTTGCAAAGAGAATCAGCACGACTAATAATTCATATTTTAATGGAAAAAAGATTGTGTGACAGTTAATTGAAAAAAACCTTTTACATCGTGATTTGAATTTGTCATTTCTAAAAATACCTTTCCTATAGGACAATGTGTTGGAAACACATCACTAAATGTTTTTCATGTCATTTTCATGTTTTTCATATATATATATATATATATATATATATATATATATATATATATATATATATATATATATATATATATATATATATATATCGTCGATCGTCGATCTCAAAGTGTTCAGTGAGGATCCACAAGGTCTTCTCTGAGTACTCTTTATTTTCTTCTCCGAGGCTATGGGTCCCTACACTTGCACCAGAGGTGGTACCCCTCCTATATATATATATATATATATATATATATATATATATATATATATATATATATATATATATATATATATATATATATATATATAGGTCGCATGTTCAAGGTGAATGAAATATACATCTAAATATATATGCAAAGTTCAAATCACAATAGGGAGGTGTATCATGATAAAATGTTTGGAGCAAGACCGTCGATCTCCAGCTTCCCCAGAGACGTGATTCAGGTCCAAGGGTCTTGCTAAAAACTTTTCACACACACACACACACACACACACACACACACACACACACACGAAGAAAAGCCTGTATTTGGAAGCCTGTAAAAAGATATTTAGGTGGCAGCTAAATAAATAATTCAATTTATTAAATTATTATTATATTAATTATTATAATTAATAATTATTATATTATTATAATTATTATAATTAATTATTATATATAATAATTATTTTTACTGTACACAATTGCTTACAATAATCCTACAATATGAATATTTTGCGGACTTCCGCGACCCTCTAATATTAAATGGACTTTTTTCAAGGTTTATAATATGAATTTCGTAAAATATTTAATTTGAAACGTTTTTAACTATATATAATAGACCAGCAGTCATGTAATATTTAGTTTTGGCGTCGACATTTCTTTGTATTTATGCATTGTTTGGATATCAGTTATAGTACTGGGATAAGGGCCAAGTTAAGGGTACTATGATAAGGGCCAAGTTAAGGGTACTATGATAAGGGCTAGGTTAAGGGTACTATGATAAGGGCCAGGTTAAAGGTACTATGATAGGGGCCAAGTTAAGGGTACTATGATAAGGGCCAGGTTAAAGGTACTATGATAAGGGCCAAGTTAAGGGTACTATGATAAGGACCAGGTTAAGGGTACTATGATAAGGGCCAGGTTAAGGGTACTATGATAAGGGCCAGGTTAAGGGTACTATGATAAGGGCCAGGTTAAGGGTACTATGATAAGGGCCAGGTTAAGGGTACTATGATAAGGGCCAGGTTAAGGGTACTATGATAAGGGCCAGGTTAAGGGTACTATGATAAGGGCTAGGTTAAGGGTACTATGATAAGGGCCAGGTTAAAGGTACTATGATAAGGGCCAAGTTAAGGGTACTATGATAAGGACCAGGTTAAGGGTACTATGATAAGGGCCAGGTTAAGGGTACTATGATAAGGGCCAGGTTAAGGGTACTATGATAAGGGCCAGGTTAAGGGTACTATGATAAGGGCCAGGTTAAGGGTACTATGATAAGGGCCAGGTTAAGGGTACTATGATAAGGGCCAGGTTAAGGGTACTATGATAAGGGACAGATTAAGGGTACTATGATAAGGGACAGGTTAAGGGTACTATGATAAGGGACAGGTTAAGGGTACTATGATAAGGGACAGGTTAAGGGTACTATGATAAGGGCCAGGTTAAGGGTACTATGATAAGGGCCAGGTTAAGGGTACTATGATAAGGGACAGGTTAAGGGTACTATGATAAGGGACAGGTTAAGGGTACTATGATAAGGGACAGGTTAAGGGTACTATGATAAGGGACAGGTTAAGGGTACTATGATAAGGGACAGGTTAAGGGTACTATGATAAGGACAGGTTAAGGGTACTATGATAAGGGACAGGTTAAGGGTACATGAACAAGGGACAGGTTTGTTGTGTATGAATAAGGTCAATCAGTCATATTTTATATATATATATATATATATATATATGATATATATATTTATATATCAAGAGCAGCAGGAACAGTGACGGCGGAGCACTGTTCCTGCCATGCACCATGTTACTTGAGAGAGAGAGAGAGAGAGAGAGAGAGAGAGAGAGAGAGAGAGAGAGAGAGAGAGAGAGAGAGAGAGAGAGAGAGAGAGAGAGAGAGATAAAATCGTCGACAACACTTGCGTGAACTTTCCTCCTCGAGTCTTGGCTGCAGGGCGCAAATATGTGAGGTAAGAATATGTGAGGTAAGAATATGTGGGGTAAGAATATGTGGCAAAAATGAGGTTAATGCGGGCGTCCGTGGACGCTCCTTCCCCCCCCCCTCCCTTTCCCCACAACACGACCCCTCCATTATCGCCAGAAGAGGGGTTGGGGGGGGGGGGTGGAGGAATTACTGAGTACC